GCGTGCTTTACACCACTTCATTCGATGCTTTGCATTGCACTTGGTGATGAAAGGCTTGGATGCAGCTGCTCGGCCATGGAAACCCATTCCATGAAGTTCTCTACGCACTGTTGCTGTGCCTGTCTGGAGGCCACACGAAGTCCGGAGGTCTGTAGCTATTGACTTTGCAGACAGTTGGCGACTTCTGCGCACTGTGCGTTTCAGCATGCACTGATCCCGCTCTGTCATTTTACGTGGCCTACCACTTCGTGGCTGAGTTGCTGTTGTTCCCAGTTGCATCCACTTTGTTATAATACCACTAACAGTTGACTGCGTAATATTTAGTAGCAAGGAAATTTCATGGAACATTGAACTGAATCCAATGATTTGGAGGGGTGTCCCTATACTTTTGGTAATATAGTGTATGTTGTACCCTGAATATGAGTATAACACGAATCATGGTAGAAAAGGTAAACTTGGCCTTTCGATCTAAATATAGCCAAAACCTTTTTAGTTTTTGATCAGCTAGGGAAGGATTGGAACCTTTTATTGTGGTTTGTGTGCGTGCTGGGCTGTTTACCCCATCTATTGTCCTGGTGACCATTGCCACTGAGACAAAAAGTGAAGGGGACTCCAAAATATAAGAGCTGTTTGTTGCCAGAACAAGAGGTAGGGGTAATATTCTAAGTGAGTATACCTGTTTCGGTGACCATTGTCTGACAGGGAAATTCCCATCAGTTTGTACAGAAATCCTAGCACTTCCTGGTGCATCTCTGAAACAGGAAGCAAAGGGAAATCTCTCAAATGAGACATAATGCAAATCATGAACTGGTGGAGTTTTACCCTTAAATTTCCAATTATTATCAAACTGTGGCTTAGTAGTTAGCACGTTTGCCATGCAGCAAAACCCCTGAAAGAGAGCGGCAAAACTATTCCAGGAAGATCTTCCTGTTTCCAGGAGATTGCTGTGGTGGATAAGGGGAGGGGATCATTTCTTTATGATTACATAGGGACATACAATTAGGGTTGGCCAGTTCATATTTTGAACTGGTTTTCATAGTAAGATGTATTGGGCTATACAGGTATATATTTATTTACTGATGGGCAGGGTTGGTGCCTTTAGGACTTTTCAGTCTGGACAATTTTATGTGTGTTTCCAGTTTTGCAAACAAACTTGAGAAAACCTCACTATATGTCTATGTTCCTATTCACACAGCATATCATAAAATAAGTAAAATACAAATATTTACCTTTTTAGATGTGTCTGTGTAGCAGGCCTTTGGAGCTTCTCTGTACAATTTATAAGTAACAGAAAGACCAGGGCAGACTCCGGCCCTCCAGCTGTTGTGGAACTACAAATCCCATGATGCAATGCAAGATTCTTATAGCCATAGGCATCATTTCCAGAGACCGATGCATGACAGGATTTGCGGTTTCACCACACCTAGAGTGTCGGAGTTTCCCCACCTCTGTTCTAGATCATAACCCATTGTTAGTACAGTGTTGAAATCTAGTTCCAACTGATGAGATCTGCCAGCACAGTACAGACAGGGTTAATTAGGTTAAACATTACCACCCCCCTCAACTTGCATGCTAGAAGATAATTCAGTTTAAAGTAAAACTTTTCTGTAGAAAAGGGGCAAGTAAAGTGTAAGCAAGTTTCACATTATTTGTTTAAAGTATGTTATGTGAATGAGAACATGTAACACGTATAAAATAGGTGGTGTTCCAATTTGGGTGCCAAAGTGGAAATACATTTTAAGACTATATGGAAATGGCACTCCGGGAGACCATTGAGCACAGACATTTGCAAAGCAGTAGAACCTTGTGCTTTGATAAAGTCTAGATGAAAGAGGAACTGCGGTTGTTGGCCATATTCCCTGATTCATTGTCCGATATCTACATGTGACAAGACTGTATTGTGGAGGCTTCCAATCATAAGCATATCTTTTGTGTTACAATTATTAACTCTATGAACTCTGTTTACTAAAGAGAACCTGTGCTTTGCCTGTACATGGTAACATAACAAGTTCACTTAACCTGCTTCTTCCTTTCCTTTGTTCCCCTGTTAGCACATTCAGAGAGAAGAGTGGCCTGGCTGACATGGTGATCCAATGGCTTCAGTGCTTGCTCCATTGACTTGGAACATTTGTGCTCTGGCGACACTCACCTGGGATTTCACGTTGGAGGGATCTCCTCTCACTTCCTGTTATGGCTGTTGGACAGAAAGTGAAAGGAAATCTCCCCAATTGGACACACATGGCAAAAATAAAGCTGACTGGTTATAACTTTCCTGTACCCTACAAATCTAAAAAAAACACGTTTTGGATTCACTCTGATATTCCTGATCTGCATACATGTTCCAGAAGATGGCCAGGGAACAAGCATTTTTTACATGGTCAGTAAATATTTACTATTATACAGGATTTATATAGCGCCAATAGTTTGCGCAGCGCTTTACAATATAGAATACAGTAATGGCAGGCTTTGTATTTCTCTCAGTGCACGTTTGCTTTTAAATGATCATACTAGTGTGTAAAACTCCAATGTCAGGCCTGTTCTCTGTACTTTGTGTTTTTTATATCTGCTTTTCATCTACTTTATATCAATCTTTCAGCTTCTTTTAATCAGCCTCACATGTGATTCGGCTGACCATTTCCTATTGAAGCAAAAAAGGTTTATAGCAGCAGATCAAAGTCTCCTATCATAACGTACTTCTATGTGCCAAATGACATGGACAGGAAACAGGTTTTATACAGAAGTTAGTGGAGCGTATGTTACTGTGGAAGCTTCTTCAAAATATTCTTTATGCATTCTGGCAAAATGTGTTGATCTCTGCTTCAAGTCACATGTAGCAATAAATAAGAAACTCTGTATTCCTGTTGCATATACCAGAGCTGTGTGCACTATATATGGAACCTTCAATTGCTTCGGGGACACTCTGGTTCAATGCCTTCCCTTCTTCATACATAAATAGGAAGGCTGCGTTTGGGCTGGAATTCTACTTTAGAGCCAAGCTCTGGGCTTCACCGCCTCCTTAAGGCCTCTGTGGGCAGCATTTACTTTTTTGATGACAGGCCAGGTGACGTGTTGTTACTCTTCAGTCTTTTTTTTTGCCATGTCTTTGGGTCACGTGGGGGCGGCAGACAGAACGACTTGGCTGCTCTGCTGTACAGTGTTTGTAGTGCGTCTGCCACCCCCTTTTTCCAACCAGAGCGTCCCAGGTTGCTAAGAGCCGGGTCGGATGATGTGCTCTTGGAAACTAGTGATGTCAGTGAGCTGGGTGGGATGCTGGCCAGAGCTCTTGGCAACCAGAACGTGCACCACCACCAACCCACCCAGGCGGAGACACCCTGAGGGCTTGTCCACACCAAGTGCGGAGCAGATGCAGAGCTGTTACAGAACGCATCAAAAATGCATCCAATGTATTGGAATCATTTAGTTCCAGAGCAAGTGGAAAACCTGCAGCATGTCCTATTTTTTTTTTAACGTGTCAAAACGCACTGCACTGCATATGCAGAAACTCCTGCAGATCTGGTTCAACTTTGGTGTTAACAAGCCCTAGCTGAGTGTAGGGTGTAGCACTCACAGATGCTTTTGACGAGACCTGTGAATGGAAGACTGCAAACCTGTCCCACCAGTCTGCCACAGTGGCAGATAGACTTGTAGTTCTCAATAGAATACAAGAATGGTGACATCCTGCTTGTAGTTCACTTCTTCAGAGCATTGCACCTGCTATTGACTGATCATGGTTGCTTTGCAGGCTCCAATACAAAACTGCCATTATGGCTCTGTTTTTTGCAAGTGTCCTAAGACGATAGATGTGTTTTTTTAGGTCTGCTTGGAAAAATGTACCTTTTTTGCTACCCTTTTTCCTTCAATTTTCTTCTTCAATCAAGATTCCTCCTGCACTGCTACCAAAGTTGGGCTCTTCATAGCAGCTCTCTGGATTGGCTTTTCCTCAGCATAATTATGGAGTGCCGTACACAGATCTCTCTGGACTGGAGATTGCGGGGCTAGCCTGTAAGTGTCTTTCTACTTGTGGTGCTTTACAGACATTAAATACTGGTAAAAGTTACAGTAGCTGCTGAGCACTTTCGAAGTCCAGAGCTGTGGCATTGCCTCAGCGCTTGCCCTGTATCTGAAGACTCACTTTGTGAGTAGCCCATTTGCAAGAGCCACATGAAACTCCAATCTTCAGTCTGTTCCTGTTGTCTGCCTACAGTGACTTGGTCACCTACAGCTGCCTGACACTACATCTCATTTCACGAGTTGGGTTCATAAATACTTGGGGCTTTGCCTTCACTTCAGCTTTACGTTGCAGCCTTGTGCAGCATGTACATGCCAGGCATAAATAATTGTCAGGAAGAGTTCCCCAGCCTACTACATCTGGATCCAGGGGAGTGGTCTCTACACCTGGATGTGTTCCATGACCTGTGTCACAGATGGTGGACACCTTTAACAATAAACTGGGTAATTTTGTCTCTCAGATACAACGATCCTCTTTCTAAAGCAGTGAATTATCTGGTGACTCTGTGGGGTCTATCTTTTTCCTCCCCTCAAACATTCTTCCACGTCTGCTCCACAGGATCAAGATGGGGTGCATTACGGGGATCCTCATTGCTCTGGATTGGCCCAGGCGGATGTAATTGTACAACCTGGTAAGACTGATGGATGTTCCATAGGATCTTCAAGAATATCTGGCTATTTTGTAGCAAGGACCGATTTTACCATCCTGCTTCCGGGTCAGTGGCCTTCAAGGAGAACTATGAGATGAGTGATTTCCACTCACCTCATAGTTCTAGCCGACCTGTGACAATGAGACTGTCACAGGTCGGCTCAGTAGATCGGGAGGTGAGCGAACACATACCGGCGTTCGCTCACCTCTCGATCCTGTCACGGCTCTCTGCCGTGACAGGGGGAGGGGCTGGATTCCCCCCTCCCCGCTCCGATCTGCCAGCGCTGACTGGAGGAACGGACGGGGGAGGGGGCGGGTACAGCTGGCTCTGCCTCTAGATAGGCAGAGTCAGCTGTCACTCACGCAGCTGGGCGGATCCCGACGTCCATGTCGGGATCCGCTCCGGCGTCTCAGTATACCGCGAGCTGTAGCTCGCGGTATACTGAGCTTAGTGTAACGGGAGGACGCTAGTTTGTGTCCTCCCGTTACCCTAAGGAGAACTATGGGGAAAAACACTGACCCCATAGATCTCCTTTTAATGTGTGTGCATTTATTGTGTTTTTTTGGGGTTGATTTTTGTTTTTGTTTGTTTAGGTTTTTTTTTTGCAAAAGGAGGACTATGCCTTTTAAATAGGAGTTGAAGCAATTGTAAATTCAGAACTTTTTCTTGCTGTCCCGGAATCCAGCCTCCATCTCGGTTTATATTTTTTCTTTTTGAGCTTTATAAAGCCGCTTCTTAAGAAGCTCTGGCAACCTTTCTTTAATAAGAGGTTCTATAAATGTGGAACTTTCTCACACACTCCCTCGCTGCTCCTTTTACTAGGAGAAAAGCAAGCAATGCTGTTTCCACAGCAACTGCAAATGAATTTTCATGAATATCTGACATGTCGTGCACTGGAGCTCCCGTACTTGATTTGTGGCTAGCGTGTCTCTAATTCAGACAGACAAAATAGGAACCTTTTTTTAGTTGTCCTGATTTTCCCGCATTCGTACACAATGGCCTTATCAACCATCATGTGTGCTGTTATTATTCCTTCATACATGTATTTTTATGTTTAAATGAACCTTTGCAGTGGGGCTAACCCATGCACTGCAAGGGTTAAATGCTCAATTTGGCCTAGGGTCTAAGTGCTGGGCAACTCCAGCTGGGCTTTAACTACAAATCCCAACATGCTTCTGCCCCTGGGAGTCATGACTGTAACTGTCAGTCATGCAATGCCTCTTGGGATTTGTAGTTTCACAACAGCTGGAGGGCCGGGGGCTACCCACCCCTGGTCTAAAATAAAAAAAAAAAGATACTCACCCGATCCTGTGACAGTGACCACTCATCTCCCACTCCGCATGTGGCATGTCCCTTGGCATTCTCATATCCAATGCAAGTCAGTGGACTTGTATTAAACATGATGACTGGGAGTCATGCCTGAGGCTGTCAGTGGCTTGCAGTGCCTCATGGGATTTGTAGTTCCACATCATATGGACTGCCAAGATAGATGTAACATGTTAGATGTATATAAGCTGAGCTAATCTTTCTCTTTTAATTCACATGTGGCATTTATTATTTTACTTTGATTCCAGGATACAGTATGTTTGATATTTCTGAAGCCAGAGGCGTGTTTAGGTTCATAGCCAATCACTGAGTAGCTGTTCTGCAGCACTTCAGTTCGCTGCAGCAGCTTCACTGAACACTTCAGCTGCACAGTGCTCAGCAAAATGGCGGCGGATAATATTTATGACTAATGCCATTTTCCAATGAAAATTTGTTGTGCTCGTCCACCTAAACATTAAATTGTAGGTTCCCACACTGAATTGATTTCCTCCATCAGGGTTCAGGTACCTTTCTTCAGCGCTGCCAGGTGTTCCCACAGTTAAAATGGCCGCTGGTGCTCTGTCCCCACTCTCTGTCACACTTCGCTCTGCATTCACATTCACTTCCGCTGCCAGTGCTAAGTCCGCAGTGCTGACTTGCAGCACAGAGTTCAGCAGCGGTTTGCTAACTCCGCACTTGCAGAGGCTGAGCAACTAAACATGCCTCTGAATACGCTAGCTGGAGTGGAGGGGTTGCCTAGATCTGATCTAAATTGACTATAGAGTGTCGTTATGTTACCTTGAGATGTACGTTATGTCAGGGGTGGACAAATTAATATGGAATCCAGGAGCCAGTCTGTCCAATCCATGAACCAGCTCCATGGACATCAACTACAGAAAACATAAAAAGTTAGGCGTCAACTGTCATTTTTTTTGGCGCACTGGCTATCTGACTCCTGGTATTTGTCCTGCCCTGTGTTAGACTGAATATCTTTATCTATCTGTGCTCAGCACAGTATACAAATGGTCTCTGAAAAGTGTCTAACATGTTAGATGTCTATAAGCTGAGCTAATCTTTCCTCTTTAATTCACATGTGGCATTTATTATTCTACATTGATTCCAGCATACAGTATGTTTGTTTTGATATTTCTGAAGCCTGAATATTATCACTTAAACAAGTTTCCAAAACTCGCTGTACTTCTTTCCAGCTTGTGAAAATGCCTTGCGGCTGCCACGTTTCGGGTCGCGGGGCTTGGGTATCCAGCATAGGAGCTATTATGCAGTGACAGTAACTTTTACCAATGTCATCAGTATGCAGCTCTTACTACGTGGAATTTTACTCCTCCAGATTGTAGACAGGCCTCATATCCAGCTCCTTGGATTCTTCTGTATGCTTGGCTAAGCTATTTATAGCAATACATGCTTTCTGTTAATGAAAGTACAACAAAGGCCTGACACTTAAATGCTAACTTCACCCAGTGGACTGACACTGCAGTGTACACTATTATTAAAGTGTATGCACAATGTAGGCACAGTTCCAGTGCTATGCTGAAATCCCAACTAGAGCTTTCAGCCCTGCTTGTTGGTCTACAGAACGTTACCTATCCCCACCCCTCTCCTCATGCACATATAGTAATTTATTTCCCAGCAATTATGCTCCCTCAATACTCAAGAGCCTGCCCACACACTGTGTGTAGGGAAATGGCTCTTGGAAGATGTAGTTCTGGGGAGCATTCCTATGTCTGTAGAAACCGAGCTCCCAGCAGCTGCCAGAATATTACAAGTTTGGTGTCACAGAGAATAATAAAAGCTTTTTCTTGCTGCAGGAACAAGGTACGAAGACAAAAATAAGGCTGGTATGTGCTTTAGAAGGAGAGAGGAAGGTTTGTGGTAAATCAGAGTAATGCCCCAGACATGCACTATAATGCAGCACAACAGGAAGGTTTGTGGTGACATCTGTGTCCTATTGGGTAGATTCACTCTATTTGTCCTGGTCACCGGGAATAAAACCATGAGAATAAATCTAAAAGTCTGAGCTGCCACCAGAACAGGAAATCTTTCCAATGGTGACTCTCCAATAGGGGATTTCTCTCACATTGGAAAGACATCCTCTAACTTCCTATTGAGTCCTACAGGACAGGAAGTAAATGGAAATCTTCCTAATAAGATACAGATGGAAAAAAAAAAAACTGACTGGTTTTAACCCCCCTCTACTCTATCTACTTTAGAAATAGCTGAAAAACTAAGAGGAATAATTAAATTCCTTTTAAATATATTTAATTTTATCTATTACAGATATTTATATAGCGCTGATAATTTTATGCAGCACTTTACATAGTTGCACATTCACAGCAGTCCCTGCCTTTTATGGAGGTTACAATCTAAGGTCCCTATCTTAAGGTCCCCACACACCTTTATGATAATCGTACGATAATCGCGGGAAATACCGCGATCGTACGATTATCGTAAGGTGTGTGGAAGCCGTGCGACCTCTACTACTGTAAGGTCGCACGACTTTAAACTTACGAACATGTTCAAAACCCGCCGAGCATCGTACAATGTTCGGCGGGTCTGTAGCATTTTCGTAAGATAAAAGCCGGACGGGCCGGTGTGCCTTAGGCACACACCTTACAACCATCACAAGACTTCTGTCTTGCGATGGTTGTAAGGTACTTAAAAAAAACGTACGATGTGCCTAGCTTGCATAGGCAGATCGTACTTGCGATCGCAAGCCACGCCCCCTGAGGGGCGGGCTTCCGATGACCGCAATGCCGAACGGGCAGTGTGCGCTTGCGCACACCGGCCCGTCCGGATTTTATCTTACGAAAATGCTACAGACCCGCCGAACATCGTACGATGCTCGGCAGGTTTTGAAACATGTTCGTAAGTTTAAAGTCGTGCGACCTTACAGTAGAAGAGGTCGCACGGCTTCCACACACCTTACGATAATCGTACGATCGCGGGATTTCCCGCGATTATCGTACGATTATCGTAAGGTGTGTGGGGACCTTTACACACATACAGGGCCAATATAGACGGGAGCCAATTAACCTTCCAGCATGTCTTTGGAGTGTGGGATGAAACGGGACTACCCGGAGGAATCCCACGCAAGCACGGGGAGAACATGCAAACAACAGAGGAAGTATGCAATTCAAATGGTGCTTTGGATTTCTGACATGATCGGCATGTATTTTTTTGCACTTATCAAACAGGTATAACAAACACTTCCAATGGTATATTTCACAGCTGGACAGGTATCAAAAAAGAGAAGTTCATTGTTGGGGTTTACATACACTTAAATGTAGCTGACCCATTGCGCTGGGCCAGTTTATCACTAAGACTCTCCATGACTGGTAACGACTGAACATTTTTTATATAAGACGACTATTGTGTAGTTTGAATTAATCCACACATGCATTTTGTCATTGCTTACAAATGTAATTTTGAGGCTTTTGCAGTTTTTACATTTAGGGCCCACTCACACCATGGCATTGCGTTAAACTCGTGACGCTGCACATTTAACATGTGCTATCGCACAGGGCACCTAGCGTGTTCTGTGCTGCCACTAATTTGAATGGCATCCCAACCTCCTGGCAGTCGTGCGTTGCAGCACAACCATTAGGACCACAACATCATGTGTTGAGTTGCGGTGCAATTAAAAAAAAAAAAAGTAGTGCATGCATTTTTTTATATAGTACTTATTCTTTCACTTTACGTGCTCTATGCAGTAAACACATGCCAATATGTGGTGGGAGATTCTAGAACAATTTGGCTTTTCTTTCATGGTTCATGTTCCCAGAAATATTCAGTGCATTTGTGCTGACATGCTAAGTAGGCTGGAAGTTACAGTAAATATGGATGCGTGTTGTAGCTCATCCATGGAAATACATAGGATCCTTTCCATAGAAGTAGTCATTGCTATAGATATTCTAGTTCCTGTAATGATCAGCTTTCTTTTTTCTTCTCAGAATGCACCAGACCACTTTACCTTTATTTGTTTTATGTCCCGTCCATTAATGTGAAGTTTCCCTTTTAACAAGGTTTCTGCACCAGCGATTTCCCATATTTAATGAGACATCAGATTATTTGATTCCAGTAAAGCCGGATAAAACCTAGGTTGATGTGCTGTGACACGAGTAAATGAACAACCGGGAATATGAGCATCGGGTTTATAGAGTAATGTATTCACAGACTAGATAATTGCTGTAAAGGCTGTTAAAGAAAACACGGCATAGATGGCAAGGTGACAGTTAGCTGACCTTTGTGTCAGCTGAGGGAACGCAATAAAATCATGAACACTAGAAGGTGCAGAGCACCAGGGACGGCGTGTGGCAGCATGGGTGCCACAGTTTATTTGTCACATCTTGGCCAGTGAAGTGGCTAGTACTTTGTGATTTTGTTTGTATTTGCTAAGCGGAATGTAACTAAGAATTCTGAAAGCCTTGGCCATGTTAGGTGTCTGTCCAGTGCAGAAGACATGAAATTGGACATTTGATTGTTGTCCATTGTAATGTAGCTGATTTGTTCCATGTTGGCTTACAATTTTGAACCAACTTCACCTTAAAGTGTATTTCCACTTTTGCAGCCAAATTGGGATAACACCTATTTGGTACATGCTCTTAATCACATTGCATAACTTATTAAAAAAAAATGCTTCTTACCGTATATACTCGAGTATAAGCCGAGATTTTCAGCCCATTTTTTTGGGTGAAAAGTGCCCCCCTCGGCTTATATTCAGTTTTCTTTGCTAAAATTAGGTACCTCGGCTTATATTCGGGACGGCTTATACTCGAGTATATACGGTACATCTTTAAGTGCTATATATCTGCTTTCCTAGCTTTCCCCTATGTAAAGTTCAGGAGGGGGCTGGGCAAGTTATGTTCACTCTAATTAGCTCTGTCTGTACTGTGCTGGAAGATCTCATTATTAGTTGTAAACGGCCGTTCCTTACAAAAGGGTTAAAGACTTGGAATCCTATGTTAAAGAGAGGAAGCTGTCTGTCCCTCAGTTAGTCTCTCTATTTATACTGCTCCGAGTAGCCTGCAATCTGCACAAAAGCCATAACTAAAAAAAAAACATTTAAAAGGTAAGATGTTTGTTTTTAATTATTTTGTGGTATGCTTTTGTGAATAGGAACACATAACAATCATCTACTGGGGTGTTTTTTTTTTTTTTGAGTTTTTTTTCAAATTTGACTGGAAAAATGGAAATACACTTTAAAGTGTTTCTGCAGTTGAAAATTAAAACTGTCCTTTAAAAGTTTCCCATAAAATCTGCTCACTGACCGTAGTTTCTATTTACAAGAGCATTACATTATATAGACTTTAAACCTGCTGATCCGTCTGTTCACATGAATAACTCCTTAATTCCTGCGGCAGGCCAACAGCGGGGATCGGGGGGCCTTTTGGCTTTACTTCTCTTTTTGGGTCACAGGCATTCATTTACTGATGCCCTCCTGTGACCCAATGTCAGTAGATAGTGGCCCACCATCTGCTATGTGCTGTCAGTGCAGAGCCATACCACAATTCTGGGGATCCACCTGACTGCCTGATTGACACCTGGCTCCACCTCCCAAGAGGCTGTGCCTGCCCCATATCGTCTCTATTCCTCCAATGAGCGCTGGAGGAACAGAGAGAGGGGAGGGGGAAAATCCCTGTGGGGAAAATGACTGACAGCAGT